ATTGCTAAGAATTGAATTCTGTCACTTACTTTCAGAAATTTGATAAGTATGACTTGAACTTCTTTACCTTTACTTGTTAGCAAATTATCTTAGTTTTAGCCAACACTTACTTGGAGAATCATTTGTGTGATTCCGAAGTGTCATGTTGAAAAAGTTTTGAGGTTTTGGATTTCTGACTTTTTTAGTTAGTGATATTTAATTAGTAGAAATCTGTGTACATATTCCAAAACCCAAAAACTCCAAAGTATGAAAAATTTCTGGTACCATGCATTTGTGATAAGGAATACTCAACCTGTATTCAGATTTATTTCTCTATTCTATCTAAAAAGAATAGTTTAGGGGCTGGGGAGATAGCTCAGAGGCATAAGTGCAGGGTTCTGAGTTTGATTCCTGGTACCACCAAAGAGAAGAAGATGATGGAAGAGGAGGAAGAGGAAAGGGAGAGGGAGGAGGAGGGGGATGTGAGGGGAAGGAGAAGGAGAGGAGGGGGGAGAAGGAGGAGGAGGAAGAAGAAAAAAAGCAAAAGAATGGTTTACATGCTTGATGAGTTTCTATTAAAAAAAAATAGTTGCCTAGCATTTGCTATATGGAAACTCTCTAATGTATTTGGGAAGGATTATAAGTTTTTAATGCGAGAAGATAAATTATGCTTCTTTCCAAAAATGTACTTCTGTCTACCTCCTCTACTCTGGCCTTTCATCACCTGCTCTTCTAAGCTCCAGTTCTTGTGGATTCAGGGTGTGGTGCTTCTGCAGGGCTAGCAGCTGGTTGGTCCCCAGGCTCCTGCCCTCCTCCGACCCCAGCTATCACATCCCTTTGCCTTTCTGCCAGTTCTAGGAGTAGGGAAGTATAGACCATGGAGTCAGTCCCTCTTTCTGTATTTCTTGGAGACGCCTTTGAAAAGGTGAGATTAGAAGTGACAAGAATGTGAATGTAATTGAGGAATAAAGAGCAAGTGAAAATAACAGGTTAGTAGTAAGAGAAGATTGAAATTCACGCCATCATTGAACATATCCACTGAACACATCCACTGTGCTTATTTGGGAAGAGAAAGGTCGTGATACAAATCCTGTCTTAACTTATCAATGGAAGGCCTGGCACGTCAGGGCTCCGTCATGTGAGTTACTGGTGACTCATTTCTGCTTCTGTTGTTGCCTCTACAGTGTTTCATCAAAGTCAGAATGTTTTGATAATGGCAGAGGGTATAAAGACGAATGTGATCTGGTCCTTGTCCTAGAAATTTACAATTTAGCAA